ATATCATTGGTGTAGAGAGTAAATAGGACCGGCCCTAGCACCGACCCTTGAGGCACCCCGGCTCGAACGGGGTGCGATTGAGAACACACTCCCTCGACGCGGTAGCGGAACGTGCGGTCACTAAGGAAATCTCGTATTATGCATACAAGACGGTCGGGCACTCCGTACTCATATAGCTTGTATATGAGCCCGTTGTGCCATACATTATCGAACGCTTTTGCAACGTCGAGGAAGAGAGCTCCGGTGTTAAGGCCGCGTTGGCGTTTGGCAAGTATATGTTCCGTGATGCGGTGCACTTGATGAGTGCATGAGTGTTTGGCGCGAAATCCAAACTGCTCGGCAATGGGCATGCCTTTCGTATCCATAAAGGAACGAAGGCGGGCTAATAACTAGTCGTTCATAAATCTTCCCAAACGTTTTGAGAAGGCTTATGGGGCGATATGAAGTAGGATTAGAAGGCGGTTTTGAGGGTTTGAGGAACCCTATGACTACGGCGTCTTTCCACTCGCTGGGAAAGACGCCTTTGGTCATTGCCGCATTAAAAATGGCTACGAGGAGTTGTATAATAGTAACGGGAAGCAGTTTGGCCACCCTATTGGTGATGCTATCCGAACCGGGAGCTTAAATGCATAGTTTTTTATTGCGGCCTGGAAAAAATGTTATAACATAAAAAATAAAGAAAAAAAATTTGGTATAAAAAAATAGGTATTTATTATGAAAAAATGTGTATGTAGACAATTGGCAACACTATGCGTGAAGTACTAAATTTATGCTTACATATTTGTAGGAGCCTATAAATCAACTCAATCTAAAAATAAATAATATACAGACTATTTTGAGTGAAATACAGCAAAACAGTTTCGATTTTTAGTGTGGCACAATGCCACCTTACATTTAGTACACTCAGTCCGCGAAAATCCTTTACAACCGGGAAGTTTGCATCTATTTTTAGAAGTGCATCTTTTTTCATTGTGGCCTAAGCCATCAGTCCGCACGTCTGTTGGAGGAACGGGTTTCATTGGACCCCGATGTCTTTTTGCTTCTATCTCCCGGTGTATATTGCTGATTGAAGGCCTTCCTCTTTTGGGTTCAGAATTTTTTTTATAATTGCACAATGTATCCGCAAGATCTGATCTATAATCACCTAGTGTCATGTTAGGGTGGTGTTTTTTATAAAGTACCC